TGAGAATCAGTCCAATATATCTCATAAAAATGTTTTGGAAGATTACAATTTATCAAAGGTGAGCTCCACACAATGAGTCTTTAATATGCCATATACAAATATTCGGGTGGACAAAATCAGCAAGGGCTGAGCAGTGTTTTCATTTCTAAAAATATAAACATTGGCTAAAAAATATTTTCAAGAGACCAAAGTAGAAGCATGCCTACATTGGTACAAATGGGATGTGATTAATTGGTGATATGGGAGGAAATGTGGGACAACTTCATGCTCATAGGATCTAATCTGTCAATCTGAAAAGACATTCAGGCAATCCCAAAAATAGAGGCAATACCTATTTTCATAGAAGAATATGGTTCTTGAATTTCAGTGGCAAAGAATATGCTTTATGTGCAGAAAGTCCCAGATTCCATCATTTCCGAGTAGAGTTGGGAAAACCTGTACCTGATGGAAATCACTGCCAGTTCATATGGAACATGTGAGGCCATGCTAAGCTTCTTTCAAGATGAACTTGAGTTTGGTGGCTGCATAAAGAAGCCCATGTTGCCTTCTTAGTAATGATATGGCAGTGGCTGCTATTGCATTTTTCCTGGTTTGTTTTGTTTTGTTTGGTTATTTACTTCCCCACTTAGCTTACAGCCTTAGCAACTTTAAGGTAGCTAGAATTCAACAAGGAAAGAATTCCCCAGCCAGGGAAGTTACGTGTAGGCATCTTAAAGTTGCTAAGTCAAGTAACACTGCCCTATGATTTCCCATCCAAGTACTAATCCTATTAAGACAAATAAGATGGCAGTTCCTGGTGGGTTTTTTTAAAATCTAGGCTTAGAAGCTAAGCAGGGCTAGCTGGATGAATGTATGTAAGATTATGAATTTTATGAGGCTCAGCTTATATGAAACATGTTCCTCGCACCATTTTTATTTGCACTTCCTTCAGCTATCACATTTTTCAAAGAGATGTAGAAGACTACAATATATTGTCTGAAGGACCACCAGCCATGGATCTGAAGCTGTGGCAGAACTTGAATCTATAGTCCCAAGGGGTGGAATGAGATTTGAGGGCAGCCCTGGATCAGAAGAAAACTGCGAACAAAAATGTCACATGAACACATTGGACTGCGGCAAATGGTCCTTGATATCTATGAAAATATGTGGATTAGATTTACCCAGCAGTCTGAGCAACTATAGTTTTTCACACAGCTTTAAAAGTGTTTAGGATGCTTTTTCAATCCTAAACTCAGATAAGTTGATGAGGAAATAACAAATATAGTGAGTGGGTTGTCTTCAGTGATTTCCTGGGCAACTGCTAGGACATCTAAATACAGATAGGAGATTGACAGGAAATCAGATACAATTCAGTATAACAGGTTCAAAGCAAGGCAATTAGCTGGCATCAAAGCCACCTTTTGGAGAAAATAAATAGGAACAGGATACAGCATCTGCATATCTTAGCCATGCAAATAAGTTTAGTGCACCTGAAAATAGTAAGGATAAGTTTCAGACTCTTCCTGTCTCTGGCTTTGAACAGTATTATTAGTAGTTGCTGGCTTTTAAATATAGCAATTTATTTATCTTTGCTTAAATCCAAATTAATTATTGCACTATATTGATTTCTATGAAATATTTATTCTCATTTATGAATAGTATTAAAAGATCTTTGGCAATGCTAGTGCCAAAAGTTCTCTTAAGTGTAATAATTACATTCTAATTTATGTGAATGCAAAATGAAGTGTTTTGCAAAATTTCATACCTAAAATTATGCACATCTTTAAATTCTAGATTTACAGATCTGTTAGGAGGAGGGGGAGCAAGAAAGACAATAGATTCATTCTCTTTTGTTTTCATTTAGACTCACATATAATTTCAACCCATTTTTTACTACTTCAACCTGTAATTTTCCAAAGATACAACTAATATTTCCATTTTAATGTTGAGAGAAATCATCCAGAGGTTTCTCTCTTCTGTACCATCGGCACAGATATTCTGCTTTTAAGGTTTTTTTTCTGGATTTCTCTCAAGATAGGGCCTTTTGAAGAAAAGAATTTATTAATTTTTTCAGTTCAAACTTTTAAGACGTTTCAATGGGAAACAAAATAATGACCCTGGGTTAGACTGTGTGCTTTCTTCTTTTAACCTACTACTAGTATATCAGTGATACAATCAGGTGAGTCTAGCTATGATGTAAGACAACAAGAATAAAAACAGCAATAAGTTTACACTGTGGTTTCTTGGCACTCAGTCTTAGGTTTCAATAGGAAGTCTAAAATAGATTAATCAATTAATTTATAGTAAATACAATTTTTTTTCTGAAATTAGGTACACCAAATATAAAAGTAACACCCATCATACCTAATTATAATCATACTGTCCTTCAAGCAACAATACAAAAGTATTGCTGCTAGGAGCCATACTACAGTAGCACTGCCTTTTTCCAATTTCTCTACAGATAAAGGTAAAGGTCATGTCCAACTCTAGGGGGCGATCCTCATCTCTGTTTCTTAGCGGAGGGAGACAG